CCCCAATGAATTAAATCAGCGGTTCCCTGGGGCATGAAACTTATTTTGATGGTATTTCTTAGTGCTGCAGATACCCAAATCTACTAGGTTTGTTTCCAACTACCTATAGGACATGGCCAAGTTCAGCATTTCTCCAGGCTTCAGGGAATTCCTCTCACTGGTTGCCATCCTTCTTACTGGTTGCCAATTTGAGGACCATTCTTCCCAGTAAGCCCAATCATTAAAATTAACAGGGGTTCTCTGGAGCCTGAAATTTATTTCAAGGGTTCCTCTGGGGTAAGAAGGTTGGGAAAGGCTGGACTGGGGTGTGGTAAGAAGAACATCGTACTGACCTTAGTGCTGCAGATACCAACATCTGCTAGTTATGTTCCCATCTATCTCTACGACATGTGACCAGGTTCAGGATCTCTCCAAGTGTCAGGATATGCATCTTACTGGTTACTCATTTGACGAGCATTTTTCCCAGTGACCCCAATTAATTAAATTAGCAGTGGTTCCCTGGAGCATGAAAATTATTTCAATGGTATTTCTTAGTGCTGCAGATACCCACATCTACTAGGTATGTTTCCATCTACCTCTAGAACATGGCCAAATTCAGCATTTCTCCAGGCATCAGGGAATTCCTCTCACTGGTTGCCATCCTTCTTACTGGTTGCCATCCTTCTTACTGGTTACCAATTTGAGGACCATTCTTCCCAGTAAGCCCAATCATTAAAATTAACAGGGGTTCCCTGAGGCCTGAAATTTAGTTCTAGGGTTCCTCTGGGGTAAGAAGGTTGGGCAAGGCAGGACTAGGGTGTGGTGAGAAGAACATAGTCCTTAGCTCAGTGTTTCAAATACCCACATCTGCTAGTTCTGCTCCTGTATCTCTAGGACCCATGGCCAGATTCACCATCTCTCCAGGTATCATGGAATTACGCAAGCTTTCTGCTAAGCCAACATTCAGTACTGGAGTTACGCCGGGGAATACAAGTCTCAGAAGTGGATCACATAAGATGCTGCAGCTAACAGATTTAGCTACTTGGACCCTGCTACAACATATTAATCACTTCCCCCGTGGCAGTTCAATTTTTCTGCATCACAATGAAGCTTCTGAAGTAAAATATCAGACATGTTCAAAAATAAAGCCTGAATGTCCTTTTTTTTGTCCTGTAGCCACAACAGGAAATAAGAAAACATCTCTCTTAAGTAAGGGAAATGCTCTCTAAGCCCCATTCACATGATCCATTTTGTAACTTGAAGCTTAAAGCTCCAAAACACTCAACGAGCCAAATTCCATGCTTTTAAATTCAGGCACCTGTGGATCAATGCTTGAAGCTCCAAAAAATACATGAGCTACTTTTGAAGCAGAAGAGGCATTTTGGCCCCATTGACTTCAATAGGACTGTATGAAAACATGTGCAAAAAGATACAAAAAAAAACTTGACCTAGGACCTAGGCTTTCTCTACTCCATCCATAACCACAAAGAAAATCTTAATGTTTTAAGTTTTTGAATGCTCTCGGACAGGGGTGGACTGACCATTTGGAAACTCGGGCACTGCCCGAGGGCCCGGGGTTTGTAGGGGGCCCCATGAGCTGCCCCTGGTACCTTTTTCATAGGCTTTTTTGAGTTTGGGCAAGGACACAGGGGCCCCATGATCTCCTATTGCTCGGGGGCCCCATGAGTTGTCAATCCGCCCCTGCTCTCGGAGGAATTCATTAAGGGCATCATAGACATTCTTTAGAATTGTACCTCCACGTCAGTGCAATGACAGACTCGGGACACACATTGCATGGAAAGTCACACTTTGCCTTCAGTGAAAATGAGCTCCTTTATCACATCAGTAGGCCAGTGATGGAGGATTTCTAAAGCTAAGTGGGTGGAGCCTGATGGGGATTCAGAGACAATAGTTCCCCATCAGGTAAACTCCCCTTGTGACTGACAGCAGACAGTGAGCAGATCTATAGTCAACAGACAGCCTGCTATTAGCTACAGAATCCACCCACGGTTTGCTGTCACTCACAAGGGACGAGTGGACCTAATGGGGAACTAGTGTCTCAGCTTCTCCAGCAGGCTCCACCCACATTCAGCACCATTGGTTGATAGGAAGCTTTTGTCTATGAAGCCGACAGCATCCCTAACGACCAGTGATGGGGGGAGGAGGTAGTAGCAGCAAACATGCCACCTGCTACATAGTGTACAGGGACAGGCACTCTTCCTGTCTCTGTACTCCAATTCACAGTTGGTCTTAATTACCTCCAGTTTTGTTATATACAAACTGGAGGTAATTATTTTTCAACTGGGTTCAGCAGTAGAGCCAATTTGTCACATTGGCACTATGGAAAACTCCATGAATCTGCCACACATGTTGGTATAGTTGCCAAAATTAGCAGCAGGGATTTCTGAATCTGGCGCAGACCATTTTAAAGGGCCAGACTGCCAGAGAAGTTTCATTAGGGCTTTACTGACTTTCCCCATCTGTGCCACAATCATAAGTCCCTGAACTGCTAGTCATCATTACATCAGGATAGAGAAACATATCTGTTTCTCCACCATATCGGATTATTGAGGTACATCATGAGATCTCATGATAAACCCTAAAAATTCTATTGTGTGGAGAAACAGATTTGTTCCTCTATTATGGTGTAATAATTACGGATATGGTACAGTGGAAGCAGGGTGTCCCCAGGGTTGGTGTCACCTGGTGTGATAACACTTAGTGACACCCCCTCCGACGATCCCCGCAGAATGAGCATAACGGACTCCGATCCATTATGCTCCCCAATCCGCAGATCTGATCCATCCTGCAAGGATCGTCGGCTTTCTTTACAACTTACCTTTTCGTGGAGCGGGTCCGGTGTCACCCCATATAGCTTGCATGCCGACGATCACCGCTGCGGATTGGGGAGCATAATGGATCGGACTCCTATCCATTATGCTCAATACGCAGATCCAATCCATCCTGCGGGGATCGTCAGCTTTCTTTACAACTTACCTTTTCGTGGAGCGGGTCTGGTGTCACCCCGTATAAGTTGCATGCTGACGATCCCCGCAGGATGGATTGGATCTGCGTACTGAGCATAATGGATAGGAGTCCGATCCATTATGCTCCCCAATCCGCAGCGGTGATCGTCGGCATGCAAGCTATATGGGGTGACACCGGACCCGCTCCACGAAAAGGTAAGTTGTAAAGAAAGCCGACAATCCCTGCAGGATGGATTGGATCCATTCTACGGGGATTGTTGGCTTGCTTTACAACTAGCTTCTTGGAGCAGGTCCGGTGTCACCCTGTACGGTAGGTGTCACCCCGTGCGATGGGTGTCTCCCGGTGTGCGGCGCGCACCCCCCGCACCTGCCTACTGAGTGGAAGTCTCATCTAGGTATTGCTAGAAACCACCCTGGTGATGCGCCCCTGAGCTTCTGTAAGCTAACCTAAATTGATCCTAACAGTTGAGGGCAGGGGTGGACTGACCATTTGGAAACACGGGCACTGCCCGAGGGCCCTGGGTCAGTAGGGGGCCCCATGAGATATCCCTGGTACCTTTTTCATAGGCTTTTTTGAGTTTGGGCAAGGACACAGGGGCCCCATGATCCCCTATTGCCTGGGGGCCCCATGAGTTGTCAGTCCGCACCTGGTTGAGGGTTTTATTTATCTCCATGTATTCTTCACCTTCTGTGTGCACTCCCCCAGACTCCTAATGAACGAAGCCCTATTGTGATCCAACTCTCTCTGCTCTCTCCCTCCTCATTGGCTCAAAGACAGCAACTGGAGCCATTGACTCCCACTGCTGTCAACCACAGCCAGTGAGGAGGGAGCAGGAGGCAGGGCTGAGCCACGCTCTGTATGTCAATGGACACACAGAGCTGGCTTGGGAGTGAGCACGCGTGAGTGCCCCCATAACAAGCAACTTGCTACGGGAGCACTCAGCAGAAAGGAGGAGCCAGAAGCACCAGTGGGGGACTTTAGAAGAGGAGGGTTGGGGCTGCTCTGTGCAAAACCATTACACAGAGCAGGTAAATATAACATATTTGTTAATTTTTTTAAAAATGTACCTTTAGTATCACTTTAAGTACCTTCACCTATAAGCAAAGTAGAAACACCTGTTTGGACCTTGGAGCTCTTTGACATGAGCGGTAAAAACAAGCGGCTGAGCGGCAGCCCTCCTGGCTGCCCACCAAAATTCTAACAATATTGCTGGATGGGGCTGCACACATGCTGTGCCCATGGCAATTTGAATTCATCCTGCAGGGTTTGACAGGTGGCACCGCCTGTCACACCCGCCTGTTGAGATCAATGAGAGCGTGCCACAACCACTAGCCAAATGCTTGGCTCAAGGTTGAGGTATTTTAATAGAAAATCCCACTGGCAGCCCATGCTATACCGTGGTGGATTGCTTTTCAGAGGGAAACAAGCACTGTGCAAGAGCTCTTAGAAGAAGGGTTCCACTCCGAAGTTTTGTCCAGAAAATGTAACTGTCAGTGCAAATAAAAAAAATGTATCATGGACAGTACTCAACTGTGTAAGTGCACCAGAACAGCTACAATCGCCTGAAAGTGTTACTAAACCCACAGCAGTAAAATCAGGCTGTATATGCAGTAAAGTTCACTGTGGAACCTAAGGGGTTAATCCTCTGCATTGTGTCAAAAGGCCATTTGTTCCTGATTGCTCTGTTCCTCTCCTTGTTTAAGCTGCCACCTCTTATCTTTTGATAAGACAGACTGAATGGTAGGCATTTTGCACATGACCAGTTTGGTGTGTATTGCTAGAGAGGTTTTTTTTCTTTTTTCTTGGGAGAGTGCATGTGATCAGCACAGGTCAGACAGAGGTCAGGGGTTCTGCATCCTCCTAGAGCAGAAAGAATACTCCTCCTATAAGCTTTAGCTAGTGCTCTGCTGGAAACTGATAGAAGTCACAAGACTGCTATATACTGCTGATGAGAAAAGGTATTTAGCAGTTTATATTTACTAAACTAATTGCATTTCCTGTGTACTGTGGGAGATCAGATATAGTGAATGCAGGGTCCGGGGAGATCAGATATAGTGAATGCAGGGTCCGGGGAGATCAGATATAGTGAATGCAGGGTCCGGGGAGATCAGATATAGTGAATGCAGGGTCCAGGGAGAGCGGATATAGTGAATGCAGGGTCCGGGCAGGAGAGCAGATATAGTGAATGCAGGGCCCAGGGAGAGCAGATATAGTGAATGCGGGGTCCGGGGAGAGCAGATATAGTGAATGCAGGGTCCGGGGAGAGCGGATATAGTGAATGCAGGGTCCGGGGAGACGGGATATAGTGAATGCAGGGCCCGGGGTTTAGTAACACTTTAAGCAAGAAATACCTAGATAAACAAAATGCCATTTCTAAACATTTTCCTAAAGTTGCTGTTCTCATTGTTTCTTAAAGAGAACGATAGCAATGTGCAAATCGTTCCTTTTCAGTCCCGTGCCAAGCAATCCTATGCTCCATTTGGTTGCTGCTGTGTATTACCCCCCGCCAGACGTGTAAGATGCCATATGCTGGTGAACAGTGCTAGTAATTAGTCCCCCTTGGAGAACAATACTTCTCGACCATTGCTCCTGACACCTGTTCCTTCAAAGAACTCTTTTGCTGAACCAACGCATGACACAGCAGAATACAGAACCGCACACCTTGTCAGATCGCATCTTACTGCACATACATCCATTTTACTATATTGTATTATACGTCCAGCCAGACCTTGATAAATGTAACATCAAACCAACCAAGAAACAATGTATGCTATTGCAGCAAAACTGTTACATATATTATACAATACAAAGATAGATACTTCTTAGATTGTAAGCTCCAAGGAGCAGGGCCCTCCTCATCCTCTTGTATTGAACTGTTACATAGTTACATAGTTAGCCTGGCTGAAAAAAGACAAAAATCCATCCAATTAAAAAAAAAAATTTTTTTAAAAATTAAAAGAAAAAGTTATAATTTTATACCCACAGTTGACCCAGAGGAAGGAAAAAAAACAGCAAAGTATGATCCAATTTGCTCCTGCAGGGAAAAAAATTCCTTCCTGATCCCCCGAGAGGCAATCGGATATTCCCTGGATCAACGTTACCTATAAATGTTATATCCAGTTATATTCTGTGTATCCAAGAAGGAATCCAGAATTTTAATGCAATCGACGGAGCTGGCCAGAACCAACTTTTGAGGGAGTCTATTCCACATTTTCACAGCTCTCACTGTGAAGAAACCTTTCCGTATTTGGAGACTACATTTATTTTCCTCCAGACGTAAAGAGCGCCCCCTTGTCCTCTGTGATGACCTCAAAGTGAATAGCTCTACACAGAGTTCACTGATGTATCATACATGGAGATCATATCCCTCTTATGTATTATACATGTTGATCATATCCCTCTTATGTATTATACATGTTGATCATATCCCCCCTTATGTATTATACATGGTGATCATATCCCCCCTTATGTATTATACATGGAGATCATATCCCCCTTATGTATTATACATGGAGATCATATCCCCCCTTATGTATTATACATGTTGATCATATCCCCCCTTATGTATTATACATGGAGATCATGAGATCATATCCCCCTTATGTATCCTCCCTTATGTATTATACATGGAGATCATATCCCCCCTTATGTATTATACATGGAGATCATATCCCCCTTATGTATTATACATGGAGATCATATCCCCCCTTATGTATTATACATGTTGATCATATCCCCCCTTATGTATTATACATGGAGATCATATCCCCCTTATGTATTATACATGGAGATCATATCCCCCCTTATGTATTATACATGGAGATCATATCCCCGTTATGTATTATACATGGAGATAATATCCCCCCTTATGTATTATACATGGTGATCATATCCCCCCTTATGTATTATACATGGAGATCATATCCCCCCTTATGTATTATACATGGAGATCATATCCCCCCTTATGTACTATACATGGAGATCATATCCCCGTTATGTACTATACATGGAGATAATATCCCCCTTATGTATTATACATGGAGATCATATCCCCCCTTCTGTATTATACATGGAGATCATATCCCCCTTATATATTATACATGGAGAACATATCCCCCCTTATGTATTATACATGGAGATCATATCCCCCCTTATGTATTATACATGGAGATCATATCCCCCCCTTATGTATTATACATGGAGATCATATCCCCCCTTATGTATTATACATGGGAGATCATATCCCCCATTATGTATTATACATGGAGATCATATCCCCCCTTATGTATTATACATGGAGATCATATCCCCCCTTATGTATTATACATGGAGATCATATCCCCCTTATGTATTATACATGGAGATCATATCCCCCTTATGTATTATACATGGAGATCATATCCCCCCTTATGTATTATACATGGAGATCATATCCCCCCTTATGTATTATACATGGAGATCATATCCCCCATTATGTATTATACATGGAGATCATATCCCCCCTTATGTATTATACATGGAGATCATATCCCCCCTTATGTATTATACATGGAGATCATATCCCCCCCCTTATGTATTATTATACATGGAGATAATATCCCCCCGTTATGTACTATACATGGAGATAATATCCCCCCTTATGTATTATACATGGAGATCATATCCCCCCTTATGTATTATACACGGTGATCATATCCCCCCTTATGTATTATACACGGTGATCATATCCCCCCTTATGTATTATACATGGAGATCATATCCCCCCTTATGTATTATACATGGAGATCATATCCCCCCTTATGTATTATACATGGAGATCATATCCCCCATTATGTATTATACATGCTGATCATATCCCCCCTCCCTTATGTATTATACATGGAGATCATATCCCCCCTTATGTATTATACATGGATATCATATCCCCCCTTATGTATTATACATGGAGATCATATCCCCCCTTATGTATTATACATGGAGATCATATCCCCCTTACATATTATACATGGAGATCATATCCCCCCTTATGTATTATACATGTTGATCATATCCCCCCTTATGTATTATACATGGTGATCATATCCCCCCTTATGTATTATACATGGAGATCATATCCCCCATTATGTATTATACATGGAATCATATCCCCCCTTATGTATTATACATGGATATCATATCCCCCCTTATGTATTATACATGGAGATCATATCCCCCCTTATGTATTATACATGTTGATCATATCCCCCCTCCCTTATGTATTATACATGTTGATCATATCCCCCCTCCCTTATGTATTATACATGGAGATCATATCCCCCTTATGTATTATACATGGAGATCATATCCCCCCTTATGTATTATACATGGAGATCATATCCCCACCCTTATTTATTATACATGGAGATCATATCCCCCCTTATGTATTATACATGGGGATCATATCCCCCTTATGTATTATACATGGAGATCATATCCCCCCTTATGTATTATACATGGGGATCATATCCCCCTTATGTATTATACATGGAGATCATATCCCCCCTTATGTATGTATTATTATACATGGAGATCATATCCCCCCTTATGTATTATACATGGAGATCATATCCCCCCTTATGTATTATACATGGAGATCATATCCCCCCTTATATTATACATGGTGATCATATCCCCCCTTATGTATTATACATGGTGATCATATCCCCCCCTTATGTATTATACATGGAGATCATATCCCCCCCTTATGTATTATACATGGAGATCATATCCCCCTTTATCTCCTCTTCTCAAGAGAGAATAAATTCAGTTCCTCTAATCTTTCCTCATAGCTGAGCTCCTCCATGCCTCTTATCAGTTTGGTTGCCCTTCTCTGTACTTTCTCCAGTTCCCCCTCCAGTTGAGGGGGGAATTTGTGTTGGGGGGGGAATCGTGCTAAGAGGGGGGATTGGGAGGGTGTGTGCTAGGAGGGGGGATTTGGGTGGAGAGGAAGGATTTGTGCAGGAAAGGGTAATTTGGAGAGGGTTGTGCTAGGAGGAGGGATTTGGGGGAGAGGATTTGTGCTAGGGTGCAAAATTTGAGGGGAAAGAGGATGTGTGCTAGGAGGGGTGAAGTAGAACTGCAGGTGAAGCTTTATCTATTTTGAGTGGGGGGGGGGTGCAAGTAGCCGATCTTGCCTATGGGGCAATGCAACAGCAACTGGTGCTTCGAGGGTGCAATGCACACACTGCTGCAGACAATTCCTCTGGCCTCTTGTCCATATGGAGGTCCAAACCTCCTGTTATGGGGCTGGGGGAAGTAATCAATGGACTATGAGTGCGGTGATGTCATCTCACTGGTGCTCCATTGAGATCTATGAGTATATCTGCTGCGGTGGCAGATGGGACTTGTAGTCTTCCATTTACAGATCGCTGTGATTGGATTTCTGAATAGATGATGCGGCTCTATGGGTACAGCCATGCACAGTTGAAACAAATTCAAAAGAATACAGGATGATACGGGGAAAAGAACCATGTGATTCAGGTAAAAGTATGTGTATGGGGGGATTGAGGGAATGTGACTTTGTTTCATGTTAGACCCTATATATTGGGTCTGTAGGGGGAGTTGGACCCTTTAAGAGATCAGATTTATAAAACATTAACTATGGGGAGCCAAAAAAAAAAACAGAAAAGATTGTGTCGAATGTGGCCAAGAGGCAGACACAACCGTGGTATCATGGTCGATGAATAGGAAGAGAGGCAAGAGTTAAGAATGCAGTGACTACGGCTGACCCAGAGAATATGGTGTCATTGTGGGGAAATGAAGAATTGGAGATCGCTGGAATCACACTCCCCTTTCAATGAGAAGCGAGAGGCGTCTGTTGTCTGAGCTGGCAGTTGCCTCTTTCAATGAGCAGCATGTTCTGAGACAAAAATAAAAATGTTGACATGGGATGTCCTTACCGGCGGCAATTAACAGGCTGCCCTCATCTTGTAATATGAATAATGTTGCATCACTGATACCAGAGGAGGCCGGGGGGGACCTGAGTCCAGATGGTGGAAGCACCGAATTTCTGCAGAACACACCATGCTTTATGGCCGAGTCAGCAGGAAGAAGGAATGGTAGACCCAGGCTGGGCGACACCAACAACTCGTAAACTGGAGGAATGTTATTCAATCAAAACTGGACTTTCAGCAAAATATCTGGTCGTCTACACAGAAAATCGACCGACAATGCCCTCTCCTGAAATGAAGCTTCTCACCTTTAATATCATCGATCCCAGGTGGGGTGCAGGAACGCATGGAAATTGTGCGTTTTCCGA